ACACAGGACTCCCCTTCCGCCCCGGCGTGAGTGGAGCCCACTGTCACCTTTCCTCTTTAACGTCGCTATTGATGAAGTCATGGAAACAGCGTTCACTGGACACGACCTGGAAGGTGTGGACTTACTTCCTGGTGAGCGACTTCTTGACTTGGAATACGCGGACTATATTGCCTTAATCTGTAACAACTCCCAAACATGCCAAGCAGCAATGGACCGATTAGCACTGACTGTCAACCGTTTTGGGCTATACTTTGCTCTATCGAAATGCAAAGTTCTCCAAGATTGGCAGCGACCCACCCCTGCGCTGACCTTTGGTGGTGATCAGCTAGAACTCGTTCATGAATTCAAATACCTGCGCAGCTACATTAGCACCCGAGGAATCGAAGATGAGATTACGAACCGTATAGCAAAATTTCTAGGTGCTTTTGGCAATCTCCGCCACCTGTGGCGCAGACGCCACAGCACTCTCTCCCTGAAGGGTAGAAGGTATAATGCAGCCATCCGTTCAACTCTCTTATATGGTTGTGAAACCTGGCCCATCAGGTCGACAGACATAAAGAGGCTGGTCACATTCAATCATCCCTGCCTTCGCAGCTTAGCTCATGTCTGGTGGGAACACCGCGTGAGCAATGAGTGTGTTCGGCGTGGCGTATTTGGTGCAGGAAGAGCGAGTGAACCGCTCAGCACCATTATATCATGCACCAGGCTCCGATGGCTGGTCCACGTGTTGCGCATGCCAGCACACCGACTCCCGCGACGTGCATTGTTTGCGCGTTGTGGGTGCGGTTGGAAGAGGAGGAGGGGAGGCCAAGTGATGACTTGGTCGAGAGAAATGAAAACCCTCACTTCGAAGTTGGCGTCGGTGGGTGCATCCCGATTGCCTGGCTGGGATCCTAAGGATGGTGAACATGTTTGGTTGGACACACTTGCTAATATGGCTCGGAGCCGGCACCAATGGCGTTTGTGTTGTGATTTCCTTTGTCCATCCCCCTTCTGCTTATCCTCCCCCTCCAATCACGATCGCATTCGTTAGGCATAACACAACTTTTTGCGGCACGGAAGCCGGCTGTCAGCTCTCCGGAACGATGTTTTATCCGTTACTGGGACTCAACCGGCGTGCCATTGCTTTTTTTCTTATTGTCCTTTTTATTGGGGCACAATAGCTGTGTTTTCCACCTGCAGCTAACGTGTATAATGATGATGATGATGATGTTAGGTGGGAGTTATGATAACAGGAGGAGGACAGGAAATAATGTTACAGAGCTACTCTACAGTGTCTAATTTAAAGCGCAACATGTGCAGTATACAAGTGTACAGGCTGACCGTTTTGAGTTTTTACTGTCAGGACCTTGACTGGCCGTCCAGTTTTGTCCTGTCCTTGCATGTCAGACGGATCGATAAATGCGAGCTGGCTTATAGGCGCACCGGGCACAGTCGCTGAGCGTAACTGAAGGCGAAATCCACAACTGCTGTTTACTTGAACTTGCTGACTGCAGTCATGACCTATAGCTACAGTACTGATCGTCGGATTGTTGTAGAATGTTGGCTGGCTAGGAGGCGCTCGGAACAAGCTCTTGAACGATGTTAACATGTTAGATGCGCACACGAAACTGAAGTAGTATTTTGTCTGAGATGGGCAAAGATTTGCCAGAAATGCTGTAGCGAGGTGAACAGTGATGTAACAAGGATGAAGCTGTGATCTTGAATCCGTTGACTATAGCTCATGAAACCGAGTCGAATGAGGAGACGCAGCAGTGTGCACCGAAATGACGACAGTAGGGTTCAGGATAAGTCAGAGCGTTAATACTTTGCTGCCTACGCACGCGTCGTGACCTTGGCAGCTAAATCGACTTCAAAAGTGATCACCTTTCGCATTTGTAATAATGCATCAACATTCGGGACTGATTTCTTCACGTGTTTGTACGGTGTATAGTGACTACAAATCATGTTGCGGATCAAATCCTTGCAGTTGTGTGCAGTTTTGTTCCATCATTGCCTTTTATGTTGTCCTTCTGCTTAATCGGTTATCATGAATTTACGTACCAGGCTAATTATACCGATTTTTATTTCAGCCGGAGTTACACCATGCCTCTTTTTCAAAGACGTTTTTCTGTTCCAAAGTTTCCTCCCCGTAAAGCTGCGAGCATGACCAACTTATCGCAGTTGGAATCCTCCAGCAGAAGTCAAGAATTCGGCATTGACCTTGGACCTGTTAGAACTAGACTGAGTGGGCGCGACCTCGTGTTTCGCAACGGCACCTGGGTTATAGGTGAGTAACTATTAGTACATATCATTCCTGTTCAGCTGATGGTGTATATTTCTGACCAACCAGGGTATTCTTAAGTGACGATTTTCCGACAGTACTCTATTCCTCATATCCAATGATTTTTGGTGAGATGCTTTTAATAAATATTCCAGTGATGAAAGCACACTAGTTGAATTTTGCAACTTAAAACACTATGTCTACTTTTACACACTTGGTCAACGCGGACAGAAAGTAAATGTTGCGATATATTAGCATTTCGATTGGTCTCCTCTGTCGCATACGCGACACATTTGAGAAGTAACATGTACAAGTGGAACGAAAGTATACGTGTAAATTAAAGTTGGGTGATCAAGACCAGGGCAATTTGATAGGCTGCTTCAGTTGTTTTTGCGCGCACAATTCCGGCCGTTTAACCTCAATCAGTAATGCTTCACTGATTGCCAAAACTTCCGAGTTCCGGTTGATCCAATAGCACTTTGAAGGCTTTCGATTTATCCACATGATGGCCGGTCATCGCAAGGCGCTTTGTAATAGACGGCTCTCTATTTGGTCTGTCTCTCCATTGATTCATCAACCACTTTCGAAAGTACTCAGCTACCCTTTGATCCAGTCGCTGGTCGGTCCTGCCTATTTACATGTCACTGCAGCTGCAGCTGGACGTGACAGGCCAAACCGACTGACGAACTGTTAGGACGGTAGTGGCGCTCCAGTCTCCGTGTGGTCTGGATGATTCGTGCTACAGATGCGTGTTATGCCAGACCTAAGTTTGTGACCAATTTCATTGGAAATATGGTCTCCATTAAATAGTAGAAACAAACATCCTTTTTCTAAACCATTTGCACTTATAGGTTCTTCATAACGGATCTGCTGTGGAACAAGATAAATTTCTCCAGATATCCGTTCGAAGAAAGAGTCCTATGTTAGAACTCCACACTGCATCATTTCTCTACGACTGCAAATACGCTTGGCTCTGTAGAGAAGGGTTCTAACGAGAACTCGTTTGTATGCAATCGGGACGAAGTTGCTGAAGTCCATGTTTGCCCACTCCAGGTTGCTTTACGCAACGAAGCTCCACTCCACGTATTTTTCCTGTAGACCTAACCTTGGACGGGTCTGTCGGCTTTTTGCTTGCTCCTCATCGAGGAATGACAAACGATTTGTTGTTTTCTTCACATGATAAACTGCATCGCTACTTGCATTTGGTTAAAATAGTCGAGAACCTCATCGATGTTGGCGTGCTCACCAACCACAACAAATGTATCACCCATGTAAAAATGGTATCAATCAAAGGTGTGTGTATCTCTGTTGGTAGTGTGGCGTTCTCTAATTTCGCCAATAGCGTACTGAGTGGTCAGGGTGCGCAATGTTTCAGTCTCATCAGTGTTACCGTGTGACTCCGAGACGGCAATTACACGTTGATAAAACTAGCAGATGTTGTCTATGCACACGGGACCTCGTTGTTATCCACTGCATTGGCAACCTATACTATCGCCTATGCCACAGTCACAAAGTCAGTAGGCCTGTTGTATTCACTCTTATTTTGGATTTCAGGATACTCCATCTGACGATTTTATCTCCAATTCACCCTTGTTACTTTGGTAATAATATTATAATTAGTGAAGTTTGCCAAATCAACTGAATCCACCAAACTCTTCTGTTCAAATCTCAGGCAGCTATTTTGATGGTATTGTGTTCAATTTTGTTGGTCCACGGAGCCACAGCGATTTACGCAGCAAGCACTTCAGTCAAGACTATGTAGTTGCAGTATACCACATGTTCGGGCACTGTTTGTTGCAATTTGGGAATTGGGCTAGAACACTGGTAGCCTGATGTGGCTGTTCGCTTTCTGCGTGCTCCCCGAGTTTGGTATTCAAGTTGCTGGTCACCAAGTCAACGATGCATCGATCCACAACGCATCGCGAATACAATTACCATGGCTCGATGAGAGAACCGAGGGACATGCATGTGTACGAATAGATTACATCCATTGAGTGCAGGTACCAATTCAGCTGCATTTTTCGGACACATTTGCCGTACATTTTCAACATGCCACCGATGGCGTCACTCAACTAAACGCGTTAGTGTGAAAATTAGGCCGTGAAAATGGTCACCGGACGTACATGCACCACGGTTAGACAACCGTACAGTACCTGGGGGTGCGTTACGGCACACCGTCTGACTGACCCCCTCTCCACTCGGCAGTTCGAACGGACACTAATGTGTTGCAGACATTTTAATGTCTACGCATGTGTGCACAGCTCTGCTCTTCACAGCAAACTGGCTGAACTATAGACTTGTGCTCGCTGCTCCAATTGATAAACCGGTCTACCGCTTTTTCATGTTTAATCCACACTTTGAAATACTACACCCACCCTATCAATGCACCACGCGACGTTCTCTTCACCCATTCGACCACCGTAGATGATGTGAACACATGGAGGTTGGACTTTAGCAACCGACTGCGAATGGTTGTTCGATGACCACGTCAACTGTCTGCATGCCAACTCGTCTCCTGGTATGATTTCGCATTTTAGCTGCGTCAACACTTTCGGTAATATATGTACATGAGTGTGTACATTTTCAAGACAGCCGTATTGTCCATGTGGTTCAGTATTTTCGAACGATCGCCTGGGGGAGTCTCCTCTCCTGGCGAAGCAGGCAAGACAGTCTCATTCTTGCTCCTTTCGTCACAAGAAGCGTACTGTGCTCCAGTTATTTTGAACCTAGGAGATATTCTCCTATCAATCAATCAAGTTGCCCAACTCAGCGAACACGCCAACAACTGAAGAAATCCTCTCATGTACCCACCGACCGCTCCTGAATGAGATGCATGTACATTCTATCATGAAACGAATTTACCTGCCACGCATTTCAGCGAAGGATAGCGCCATCAACATGTGCAGTCAAACGAATCGAAGGTATTCGCCTCGCATTTGCCTACCAGAGTAGCCCGTATATATCAACGATGCTATTCATTCATCTGACAGTAGCTCCAAAATGGCTTGTCTTTCATCTGTCCGACTTTCGCTTGGACATGTGAGTCGTGGCCATAGGATTCTTCTGTCTGATTTGAAAGTACAATGAAAGTACCTATGAAGTTGACTACCTATGTATTTTGATCAGCTCTGTAAGTTGACCGTTTTATTTTTCAATGCATGAGGGTTCACTATGTAAACCTTACGGATGCAGACCTTTGTATTTTGTCCATCTTGCTATGTCAACCAATTTGGTCCAGTCCCTTGAGTGGTCAACATACGGTAGTTTTACTCTCCTCATGATTTTCACCGAACTTATTTAAATATGACAGTAAAAAATCCATATCCAAAAAATGCCTTCTTTTTCCGTCATATTATGTCAGCCTACTCCAGTGAGTTACCATCTTCCTGTGACTACATGAGCTGGGATAGACGAGTCTATGCACCGAACTCCGCTTCAGCGGCGCTAGATTTTCTTCGACCTGTTCGATACTCGGAGTTTTTATCTCATCTCCCTAGAGATCTCCATTGTGGGCAGGCGATGGCCGCCCATCGCACGAGCCGGAATATTTTAAATTGTGTATTATTCGGTGTTCATTTTGATGTACCTGAGGATCCCGTAACTATTCGTCTTTCGAACAAACTGTTTAAGCCACTGTTGCAACTGTGCTGGGCTGTTCCTAGTCACCCTTTGTTGCAACCTAACTGTCTACCACACAGATCACATGAACTCCAGAGCCTTTGTTCTTTTTGCTATCCGTTATAAACGTATGCAAACACACACTTCTAGCACAATAATAAAAGTAGGCTTGTTTCCGTTAATCGCTCCTACTGCGCCACATTCACAATTGGTTTTAATTAACTCCGTTTGCAAAGTCATGACAGTCTACGAAAAGCACCGCGATCAGTCCCTGCATCTATGGCCTTTTCACTTGCTACCGAAAATGTCATGCAGGTCTTTTTACGATCACTTTTGAGATTGCCTGTGCCTGGCCGTTCTTTTCCCTTCATCGAACATCTCAATAGGTATAGGTTTAACTTCTGTCTCCTTACCAGCGGTCTCTGATTGCTGATGCAATTTGGTGAGCGGTATGAAGCGTGCTTTTACTTTATCCACCGGTATTTATACGATGGCCCACACTGGACGCGGTAAACAACTAGTGCCCTGCATGTTTCCGTTTCCAACGTCCAAGTCATGTCCGACTGGACACAGTATCGAGTGTGGTTAAAAGTTGGAGTCGATGATGGATTTACCGCTAGTCGCCCACCTGTTTACATGCGATGTTTTTCGTCAAACCATAAATGAAAAGTGAAACTGTCAGCACCCAACGAGGGGGGGGGGGACCACCCACTCATTGTGGACAAAGCCAGCCTTACTAGGTTTGACGTTGAGTGGAAGCATTGATAGAATAGATGACTCCAGATTGCATTCTGCGACCGAGTTAGCTCCTGTTTGGTCTTTTCACCTAAAAATAGCCCGTGATTGCCGACTGATTACCATGTGCAACCGAATAGGTCTCTGCCCACATGAACATGAACCTACGAAAGCCTTATATTAATGTATGCTCCCTGTCTTCGCTTTCCTTGGCCGCGGTGCTTTCGTCCTGCTCCGCTATATCTTGCTCTATCACACCACTTGTTACATGTTTTTACGACGTTTGTTGAACTCACGTGTTCTTGGTAATCGTTCTCTGATGCCGACAATGTGCCGCCTTGAGGAATAGTTCTAACTGTGTCGGTGAACATTTTAAGCCCATCCATATGCCAAGCAGTCGTCTAGATACAACCTTTTAGTCCTCTGCTCCCAATCCAAGTTGGTCACTTTCATTGTCCAGACGCTCATGCAGACAGCTTCTGCTCGCACTCTGGAAATACTCTCCATCGATATATGTTGTCTCACTGAGACCAGCTTACAGGACTGCAGTACAATCATACGACTAAAATCTCCTGTGTGTTTTCACTGCACATTCACATTACGCTTATTCGGAAACGCAACTGCTGCAGCAGCGGACCTGGCCGGTGCGGGAATTGCGTTAATTGCGCACGCTGAAGCTGCACTACTTGATTGGATCCCAGTTAATAGCCGACCCTGTGCAATTCAGCTAGGAAACTCCGTAGGATTGTCCTGCCGCGAGGCTACCAAACGTTGTTTCTTTGTCGTATTGGCCTATGCTACCACGAATTGCATTCCGGACACAGCTAGCGATGAGTTCAACTGTCAACTCTCTGATCTTCTCTATACGAAACGCCGCACGGATATCGTGATGCTCGCCATGGATCTAAACGCGTCGGTCTGTAGGCTCGAAGCTGACGAACACGACTTCGGTGGTATGCATAGTCATGGTACTCGCAGGACAGACAACTGAGATCGCCTTCTACGGTTTTGTGCTAATCACAGCTTATTCCTATCAAACACAGACTTTCGGCGATCGTGGCGCCAGCGCGTCTCCTGGTTATCCCCTTCAAATGTAGAGTGACCACACCGGCGTCAGTTCCTGTTAGCGATGCTTTATAACGGACTGCAAATCTATTTGGAGTACTTCTCTCACTTCTGATTACGCACTTGTGTGTGCTTGGTGGCACTCAACAGCGTCATTGGAAGCAGCCTTTCATAATTCGTTAGCTCTTAACCTGAAGAATTCTCTACTCAGATGTTGAGGCTCATTGGACACTCATCCAGAGTGCCGTACACAAATTTACAACATCATCTGCGGTTTCGCTAAGTACACTAGCAATCAATAGATCTCCGTTTGATCTGTTCAACTGACGGAAGACCGCCGGACAATTTCTCTTAATGTTGAGATTGCGCAAAGCTACCCGCGCCGTGCCTAAACAGCTCCTCAGGGAGATCGTGAAGCTTGGCGGACGCTGCGTGTCATCGAGATGGAAGAAGCTGCATCCTCATGGGTATTCCACTGACTATTCTCTATCGGTGGCGGGAAACCAACTGTAAGCGACGGGGTATGTGAAAACTAAGGCAACGAATATACACTTGCCAATAGCAGTTCGACTGGCGTAAATGGCCCTCGAGTTGCCATTCTTGTACCCACAGTGTTCCCTGGTGTTTAAGCACCTCTTCATCTGGCCTCGTGGTTGTCTATGAGCTTCATTTTCAGAAGCGTCACAAATCTCTCGGTCCAGAGGAATTGCCTCTGTCTGTTTTCAAGCTTGGAGGTCCGTCTCTTTTTTCCGAATTTGGTACACTCTTTCAGGAGATCTGGACCACAAACGTCATCCTATCTAATTGGGGCTTAGCGAACATCATGCTCATCTTCTAAGAAGGTGCCCGAACAGATTCTGCCAACAACTAAATGATCAGCGTCTTATGCGTTGCGTTCAAAGTTCTCGCCTCGCTGCTTTTACGTAGGCTCAGCCGAATATGTGAATAGAACATGCGCGAAGGACGTATGGTGTTTTGCTGAGGTCGGAGCTGTATTGATCACATCTTTTAGATCCTTTAGATGCTAGAGCTTTCACCCGGACTACCGTTGTTTGCTTCCTGGGCATACGCGCAGCATTTGACTCAGATGAGAAAGCTACTCTCTGTAGTTGTCTGCTGAGAAAAGGAGTGCTCTAGAAATATGTCGGCATTCTTCAAGCAGTTTCTTCTCGATGATCGGTGGCGTTGGAAAGAATTGCTCCCCATCACCTCTTTTGTTCAACTTTGCAATGGATAACATCTTGGAGCGTGCTCTGGAAAATTCTGTGCCTCCTGACGTCGAGTTACTCCCGGCTGATCGGCTCAGTGACAGGGAGTATGTTGACAACATCGCCGTACTTTGTGACTTCTCGCAGGCTGTCCAAGACATGCAGTGCTGGTTGGAGATTTCTGTTTCACAATTCGGAATGACTATGCCCCTTCCAAGTGCAAGGTTTTCTTTCAGAGATGGTTAGAAGCTACTACTATCCTCACCTTTTCCAGCTCTTTTTTGGAGGCAGTCGGCAAGTTCGCTTTCCTTGGGAATTGCGTGAACAGATTGACAGATGAGATCAGTTTGTGCACCACCATAGCCAGAGTGGAATTTGCCAACCTCCGGCGTCTCCGGCGCTGCTGTGATCTCACCCTTTAATTAAAAGTTAAGTTTGCAACCTTACGGTACGAACACTGCTCCTGTATGGATGCAAGACCTGGCTCATTCGAGCAGGAGATGTCTAGAGACTGCCGACCACTGAGTTGCATAACTTTCTTGCGTTCGCTCCGGTGGCTCAGGCACATTCTCCATATGCCCGCCCATTGGTTGCCCCGACGCACTCTGTTTGCATGCACCGGCTTTGATTGGGAGCGACGTAAATGTGACCAACACACAGCCTGGGTCCGGGGTGTCAAGGCGCTGACTTTGCATTTGGCCATAGTACGTCGTTCCAGACTCCTTGGTTGGGGACCCGTCACTACTCGCCCCTAGTAGTACATATGTCGGCCCGTAGCCAAGAGGTAGAAGACAGCGTTTCACCACCATGCCAGATGGCGTCGTCAGTGCAATAATATACGGGGAGCTATCAACAAGATTTCACCCTGTATGTTGGTGCACTGACTATGCCACCTGGCACGATGGTGAGACCTTTGCAATCAGGTTGCCAAGCTCGGCGAACAAATAAACAACTGAATCACATGATGCCTGTTACTCCTCCATTTCGTATAACTTTAGTCACTGTTTTGTGTACCTTGAAAACAGCTGCAATTCCACTTCTGTTCCAGGCGATATGCGGAATGCACCCTCCGTCCTGTCTTTTCTTGCTGTCTGTTTTCTCGGGTTCTTCGAGCGCCCAGTGACATTTACGGCGGCTCAGTTTTCCACACGCTGTCGCGCTCGTTACCGATCACTTTTAATCCGTATGCTATGTTCGGTAGCTCGAATCATTCCGCGTCTTTGCTCTCTAAGTGAAACTGACGGGCTTTCAACAGTTATTTGTTGTTGGAGATTGTCGTGTACCCTTCCGGGAAGCAAAGATTGGGCCGCGATCACGAAGTCGTTTGTTAAGCTTACGCTCACATATTTATAGAGCATATACACTATTTGCAACAGTCCGCTTCACTGGCTCATCCTTGTTATTTGCATTCTGTCTCTGGTTCCATTTATTGGTTACCGCTTGTTCGCCACGTTCATTCTGTCTAAAATTACCTTGACTTTCTTGGTGGATTGTACGGTTGGCTCGATTGAGCACTCGTCCATCAGGCCTCACGCTCGGTCCAATCCCACAAACCTTGGCTCAAGTGCACACCAATAAGCTCCTCACGACTATGCGCTTCTTCGGCTGTGCTTTTGGAACCTGCTGGCGCCTGATTGGTCACTTGCACATTCAGTGGATGTTTGCTGGCTGGGCTTGCAGAGCTCGATGCGGGCCTAAGCCAACCATTTGCTGCTTGGCTGACAAATCCGCTTCCGATGACACGCTCACTTTCTATCGGGCTGGACTGCACCTGTCTGGTACTGCACGAGATGCCCGCTGGCGTTCGATTGGCCATCTGCCTATCGGTACCACAGCATGTACAGTCACCAGAATTTCCAGCCCCTATCGCAGATACTATGCCACTTAGAAGCTGCTATCTGTCAACCATGCAAACTTGCATGGTTTTAGCGACGTGCAGACTAAGTGATCTGCGTCACCTCATTAGCTATAGCACCATTCCCTGTTGTGGTTTCTGTTGCATGCTCAGTTGCTCCCTCATTGGAAAAACACCTACCCTGTCAACTGCTGCATTCTATTAATTGAACTTCTTTTCTCAATCATCGTATCCGTCAAAATGTCTTTGTCCCGGTCTTCTCTACCTAACGAGTCCATCTAAGTTACTGTCATGTTTACTGCCTCTGTTGCGTATACCCACTTTCTCCCTAGAGGGTGGCGTTGAAATGGCCGGTTCTTCGCAACTTGGACGAGAATCCTTTCACATCAAAAAGGAAAATCATCAGCTTGTTGAAGAAAATAACCTCCTGAGGCTAAAAGTGGATATTTTGTTAGATATGGTGGGTTGCCTTACAATTAAACGATTCTGTTCGGTATTTCCATCTATTACTCTGGAGCAGACTCCGATAACTTCCCCCGATTTGTTTGTCGCTCCGTTTGCTCTTCTGATATGATCTGATATGATCTTTTCGTAATTAAGAAACTGCTGCTGTATCTAGGTGGAAGTTCACTTGATCCCTAAATTACCCTGTGCACGGCTCGATACATGAAGCCTGCGTGCCTGATGCTGTCTTGACGACATCACACCTTGTAATTTGGTCGCGTTGATGGCTGAAACTCGACGAGCGCAAAAACTTTTCCTGTTAAATCTAGTATGTTGGAGCAGCTTTTTTCACAAAACCTTTGTTCGATGTATTTCCAAGTTAGCTAAGAAACGCACTTTTAGTGTTTCAAACATTGTTGTGACCCGGGATTTGCCACTGGTATTTCGCTCCCTTCTCTTATTCTTTAAATCGCATTGTTTGCCATCTCACTGCGAATTGTTTCTTCCCCCGCCGTGTCGTAGTAAGTGCACTAGATATATCTACGACTCGGTCCCTATAGCTCAAATGGTATAAATTCACCGAACGGGAGGGGAGCGATTTGCACGGAACACGCACACGAAAGTATATCCGTAAAATAGACGCAGCCAGTCTATGCACATAGGTATTTATTCTGCTAGCCGTCAATCGATGGACATTTACCCAGTCAGTTGTAGGCCGGGAAACGCGTGCACGCTTGACAGGAGAGAGAGAAGTAGCTATGGCGCGTGCAGAAAGCCCCCTGTAATACAGTTGTTTTCTGGGTTTGTGGTACTCTATTTCCCCGAATTTCTTTGTGGCTTCACTTATAGCCGACTGCCTTTGTTGTCTCCCATGTTTCTAAATCGTTATTTGCTCCGAAAACTGGTTTGAGTCAAAATTCCTTGCACGGTTTTGTTTCGGATGAATTTTTGATCTCGTGATAGTAAAATTAATAATATTTGCATGGATTCACTTGCTTGTGAAATTCGGTAGTCATATTTAATGCGTGTGCTGGCAACAGTGATGCGCCCTTTTGCTCTCCGCACTTGGAGTATCCACAAAAAAGGCAAAGCTGGGGTGTGTAGTGCTTTTCCGGTACCGAACTTACCTCCCCTTTCAGCGTTCTCACATGATTGTTCCTTGCATCTAGGTTTATATTTGTTCACTGTCTCGGATTGGCTGTTCGCATAAACCTGTCCAACCCCGATTGGCCGATCAAAATGGCAAGGTCGTAGACACAGCGCCATGGCCGTCAGACATGAGATGATTACACCTCGCAGAGTACCTATATTTATTCGTTCGTGGCGACCTTCCTGAATGTTCTCTGTCCTCTTCTCTTCTTTACTTACCAATAATAGTGTTAGGTTGTGCAGAACATTCTTTTGATTAACCAATGCGATTTTCCTGCTCGGTTTTTAGGAAAAGGGTTGGACTTTGGGCTCACTGATCCATGCGTTAGGAGTTGCTCCCCCTAACACAGATAATGGCTATGAACTGACTTCAGCACGTCTTTTTTAACTGTCCTCTGGAGTTCTGGCTTTTACCATCCGGTCACCATCATTGGCTTGTTCCCACTTCCGAATGCTTCAAATGTTCCCATTGATTCACCTGGTAGGCTGAACAGTTGGTTTGGATTTTTAGTCTATCGCTAGTGGTGAGTTTCGGCCTTAGTGGTTATCAGGTGATAGTTTGAGTCGGACGTAGAGCCATGGTTTAGATCTGACGACACCTCGATCGCTAAGTGATTTAACTAAGTTGATTACAAAACGGACCATCAGGAACCCAACGTTGGAAAGACGATATCACTAGCTGGGATGAACCGACTTCTTGATATTCAGTTTCACCATTTTTGCATGCTGTGATGGTAGCTTACGTGCCAAACCGCCAGCCAACAGCGCGAACTGGTTTCCACCAATCGGCAACACAATCGGAGATCGCAATCAGTTCGCGGCACCGCCAACCAGTGGCGCACACAAGCTACCGATCGGACGAACAGACCAACGGCTCGGCAAAGCGTCTGGCAAACAAGCGTGGTCCGAATATCCAATCAAAACCCGAGACGGCTCGCAAACGAATAAGCGACGTTAAGGGGATCGAGGACTTGCATCAGACGCCTGACCAATCAGCGTCACGTCAATCCGGTACGCGAACGACCGCCCATAGGCCAGAAAGAGCAGGCACTGAACCGAAACCCATCGGCCGATTGGTTTTTGATCGTCAAGACACAGCATGGGGAACCAATTGTAGCAAATGCCATGGACGAATTACGACCGAACGATTGGAGGCGAAACGCCCAGGATCAAAGGACACTGGCAAATGGAGACAAATGCATGAAAGTGTAGTAGCCGAATAGAAACGGGCGCAGAAAATGGTCATATCTGATATAAAAAGAAAGCAATTCTCGCCAATAAAGATTTTCGTGTCGCCGCCACCTGTTGTTCTTTCTGCCAGAGGGCCGCACGTTTTACATGGCGACAGAGGACAAGAAGACACGCCGAACCCCGCATGCGTTTGGTGGACAACCAACGATTCCGCTGCCAGCTCCGTTGCAAATGACCGAGAGTTCGTTGCCGGAGAATTGGAGAATATGGAAGGCGAAGTGGCTAGACTTTGTAACACTGACTCAGTTGGATTCTCAGCCAATGGCCTATCAACTGGCGATGTTCAGGCATGCCATTGGAGACGAAGCCAGGCGGACGCTGCAAACGTTGGATCTCAGCGATGGAACTCAGGAGATGGAGCTGGATGAAGTAATACGCAGATTCGGCGAGTTTTGCGAAGGTTACACAAACGAAACTTACCAAAGGTATCTGTTTTTCAGCCGAAATCGCCTGCCGGGTGAATCAATCGACGCATACATCACGGAGCTGAAAATTCTGGCGCGGGATTGCAATTTTTGCACCTGTTTACGAGATTCGCTGATCCGCGATCGAATTATAATTGGCATAAAGAATGAGGAACTTTCCAGACGCCTTTTGCGACAGCGAAACCTGTCTTTGGAACATTGCATCGATATCTGTTTTAGCGAATCAAGGACGGCTCAACAGTTTCAGCAGCTCAAGATGGAGTCCACGACGGATCTGTTTGCAGTATCCCGAGGCCGAGAAATTGTATCGAAGTCATCGAGCGCGAATCAACCCAAATGCCAGTTTTGCGGCCGCTCACACCCAAGGCGCAAAGAGGATTGTCCAGCATGGGGCCGAACCTGTATGAAGTGTGCGAAGAAGAACCACTTTGCACGTTGTTGTCAGGCAACTAAAGTCGACTCAGTCGGGCAGGACGATCAGGAAGAGCCGCAGGAACTGGCTATTAACAACATGACAGGACGTGAGAGACCAGTCTGTGTATTCGCAACGTTGCTTATTCAAGGGCGTCCGGTGCGATTCCAATTGGATTCAGGAGCAAGCGTGAACATACTTCCTCACAAATACTGTCCCGATGCAGAATACCGCCAAATACAGACACAGCTCAGAATGTGGAACGGATCAAAGTTACAACCGAAGGGCTGCGTTACCATGAAGGCCATAAACCCGAAGGATGGCTCCGAGCATTTACTTGATTTTCTCCTGGTATCAGGAGATTTAATGCCCATCCTGGGCCTTGATTCCATTCAGAGTTTGGGTTTTGTTTCTTTTAATCATGATCGTTTTGTTCACTCGTGCGAAGTCGGTACAGAGATCGTAGACAACTATCCCAGTGTGTTTGATGGTACCGTGGGAAAATTCCAAGGCGTAGCTCACCTGTCATTAAACGAGTCCGCTAGACCAGTAGCACTACCAGCGAGAAAAGTACCTATCGCTTTGCGTGAGAAGTTCTTAGACGAGTTGCAGCGTTTGATCAGTTTAGGTGTGATTGCCAAGGTCGATGAGCCAACCGATTGGGTCAGTCAAGTCGCGATAATCACCAAGAAGTCAGGCGATTTGCGTGTGTGCATCGACCCTAAGCCGCTCAACGCCGCACTCAGGAGAGAGTATTTTACACTACCAACGCTAGATGACGTCTTACCCGAGTTGTCCAAGGCCAGATTGTTCACGAAGGTCGACCTCGCTTCCGCTTTCTGGCACGTCCAGCTTGACGAAGAGTCCAGTTATTTAACCACGTTCGGAACGCCATTTGGACGGTTTCTGTGGTTGCGCTTACCATTCGGTTTGAAAGTGTCCAGTGAAATTTTTCAGAAACGATTAATGCAGGCCCTAGACGATCTACCCGGAGCTATTTGTGTAGCAGACGATGTAGTGGTTTTTGGGGCGACTCTGGAAGAGCACGACCGTAACCTGAGCAGATTTCTAGAACGCTGTAAAGACAAGAATATCAGATTGAAACGTGAGAAAATTGAGTTACGAAAAACAGAGCTGGTGTTCCACGGACATGTTTTGAGCGCAGAAGGTCTAAAGCCAGATCCGGAGAAAGTTAGAGCCATAAAAGAGATGCCACCTCCGACAGATGTTAAAGCCGTGAGCAGACTAAACGGGATGGTGAATTACCTCAGCCGCTTCCTTCCACGACTAGCCGAAGTAATGGTTCCTATCCGAAAACTTACACATAAGGGCGAGAGCTGGCAGTGGAACACAGAACAGGAGGAGGCTTTCCAGAACATCAAACAACTGATCGCGTGCGCCCCTGTCCTAGCGTATTACGATCCGTCACTTCCCCTTGAGATCCAGTGTGACAGCAGCCAATTCGGTATCGGTGCCGTGCTAATGCAGAACGGGAAGCCCATCGATTTTCGCAGTCGGACACTAACGCAATCCGAGCGCCGTTATGCACAGATTGAAAAGGAGATGCTAGCATTGGTTTATGCCGTAGAGCGTTTCAACGATTACACTTTTGGTCGCCGGACCACTGTATTTACCGATCACAAGCCTCTGGTATCAATAGCCAATAAACCACTGCACGTCGTCCCACGCCGCTTACAACGAATGCTCATTCGGCTCCAGAAGTACGACCTAGACATCGTCTACCAACCGGGGTCGAGGATGTACATTGCAGACACACTGTCTAGGGCATATCTTTCCGATGTGACCGCAACGCAAGAAGCCCAAGACATTGTCCATGTCACTCAGCTATTGGCCGTCACAGAGGAGCGTTTCCAGCAACTACTACGCCACACG